CCCAGCACCCCCCATTATGAAGCTTTAATAAAGTCAGTTAACCTTTAAAATGTCAGCTTCCTCATCTGTAACAGGGGTAGATAAAAGGGATAGAATAAATGGAAGAGAACTGAATAGCGCCTGACGCATACGAAGTGCGTAATGAATACGTACGTTTTAAAGTTATTTTAAAAGCAGGTGAAACTTGCTCGTGCCCCACAATGCAAAAGGTCCACGATGGGATACAGTGGAAAGCGGGGAGTCCCCTGCCTGCTCATCTTGGTCCTCCATGCGCCCCTCCCTCAGGCAGCTGCCGTCACTGGGGTCTTCTGTGTCTTTTAAACAAGCTTAGGCATATTATTATATATTCTTGTTTTTTAGCAGGATGTATGGCATACTGTATGTATTATTTTGTGGTTCACTTTTTCCCACCTGATAGCTTGTTTTACAAGATGCCTGAATAGTATTCCCTTTTATGGGTAAATAATATTTAGGTATTTGCCAGTACCAGTAATGCTGTCATGGATACGTGTATATCTGTAGGGTACATTTCTGGAAGTGTCAGAGCTTTCAGAGGGTAAGTTCTGTAAAGATTGTTTTAAAGTACTGATTTTGAAATAATTGCAGGCTTACTAGAAATATTGCAGGAACAGTAAATACGGAGAATTGCCTTTTGCCTTCATCTAGATCCTCCAAGTGCTAAATGCTCTGCTGCATTCGTTTTCTCTTTACCTAGTAGTAGTTTGTGAGCTGTATCTATGGCACGTATTCTTTTCTAATTTGTTTGGCTTTTGAGTTAAAAGGGAGAGGTATTTTCTTTTTATTTAGCAAAAGGGGGAGAAATGTTTTTATGTAGCCAAATTTGTCAGTGTTTTATGACTTTTGGACTCGTGTAATACTTAGAATTCAACACTGACATTATGGAAAAAGTGCCTCTTTTATCTAACACATACTTTCATTTTTTTATACATCATTACAAAATGATCACCATGATATGTCCAGTTACTATCTGTTTACCCTCATATTTTAAACCAAATCTTTGACTCAGTTTTATTTTTTGTTTCCAGATGGGCATCCAGCTGCCTAGACACCATTTATTGAATAAGTCACATTTTTCCTGCTGGAAAGCAATGCTGCCTTTATCATATATTACACTCTCAAACCTGTATGGGTCTTTTCTGGACTTTATTCCAGTAATCTGTCTTTTTATTCATGTGTTGTGATACCAAATGGTTTTAGCTTTATCGTGTGTTTTATAACTAGGATACCTAGTCCTCTCTCACTACACTTTTCTTTAAAGTGTATTTTTTTTACTGTTTTCACATATTTATATTTTCATATGTACTTTAAAAGCGACTGCTAAACTTCCAAGACTAGTTCTAAAAGAATCCCTATTGGTATTTGTATATAAGTGATTTAATCAGAGAGAATTGATGCCATTATAAATTTTTGTCTTTATACCAAAGAAAAGGGTTAATAGGGGATTATATGAAATCATGTGTGTGAAACTTTTGAAAATTGTAAAGCACTATAGAACTTAAAGAATCTTTCATTCAATAAAAAGAATAACTTAAGAAAAAAGAATAGGGTATGTATGCATTTCCATTTACTCAGATCTTTTTTTTTTAATCCATATTTTAGTAGTATTTTAAAATCTTCTTCTGGATTTTGTTGGTAGGTATGAAGGATGTTGATTTTCACGTATTAAAATGTGGGCCTCTTTCTGAGTTTTAGTTTTTTAGGTGTATAATCATATCATTTGTAAACAATGATTTTACCTTTTCCTTTATTGTTATTACTGTCCATTTCTTATCTAGTTACGTTGGCTGGTATCTCTCAAACATGATAAATTAATGGCAGTGTGATAGTGGACTCTTTCCTCACCTTAATAGGATTGCTTTTAGTATTTTCCTGTCAATTCAAATGTTATATTGATATGTTTTATTCACCTCCTCCTGTTTTTAGGCAGTTTTTTAAAACTTAAAACTAGACGTTGAATTTTAGTAAATACCTTTTCGTCTTGAAGATGATTATGCATGTTTTTTCTTTCAAAATTTATTAATGTGTTTGAAGAGAAAAGCTATTGCCCAGCACCAAGAAAGATTGCCACGTGGGAATGCAGAACTGGTTTTCCAGATCATTCAGTTTGTCAAAGGGTCAGAAATCTGGATTCAGTTTTCTTTTTCTAACACTGCCTGGGCCAAACAAAACATATACAGGCCAGATTTGGAGACAGCTTCAGGTTTGAAGCTTCAGCTGCCAGTTTGTATCTTTCTTGCAGTTCATTCCCAGAAATAATTAGAACCTGGTGACAGTTTTATGTCATCTTATGTAATTAAAGACATATTTTCATTTTTGTTTGGAAAAAAAGTCTGATTTGGGGAGATGATTTCCAGATTTTAGCTGACAGATATTATGGTTCTGTCTTATCTCTTTGTACGTTGTTTTTCTGATTTGTCATGATAAGACCTTTAGGTAATTATTGCACTTCTTCTAATACCTATTAGTTTTAAGCAATCTTAAGTTTTAGACTTCCTTAGTATAAGCAGTATCACCTAAAATAAATATCTTTCTCTCACTTTAAAAACCATTTCCTTTGTTTTCTACTCTTTACCCCCCACCCGCCGTGGTGTGTGTATGTTCCTCTCTTTGTTCTTGTTTTTAGAAAAATACTACTTTTCATTCTTTTACCTAATCTCTTTCTCTATGTTAATTAGTCCCATAAAGAGTGTTATATTCAGGAAAATACATTTTCTCTCCTTACAGATTCACTAGCACGTAAGGAAAATTCCTTGTATTGACTGATAACAAAGAGAAGGAAACAAAGAGCTTTCTTTTTCCCTAATAAAACTATGTCTGTCTGTAAAGACACAGTTAAATAAAGAGTGAAAATTTTCTGATGAATTTCATCAGCAGGGCCCAAATCTCTTTGATTTCAAGTGTATTCCTTACCTTATTGTAGGTGTCTGTTTAATTTCTGGCGAATACATCTAATTGAAATTTAAAAAGCTGATTCTGCCAAATTAGAAATTTGCCAATTTAGGTATTATTTTACTAATTATATTTCCATAAATTCCACTTGTGATTTTTCTTCTGAGAGGAATAGCTTCAAACCTGGATCAAGGTTGAATAACAGTATGGGGTTGGCCAAAAGGTTCGTTTGGTATTTTCCGTAAGATGGGTCTAGTAGCACTTAGTTGTCTTTAACTCATTCGAAACAATTTTGTTAGATTGTATGCGACAGCTGTCCTATCAGCGTGCATTTAAAAAAAGACTTAACTGGTGAATTTTTGTGTAGCCATTTTAATATTGAAGAGAAGAAAAAAAGCAACATTTTCAGCATATTACGCTTTATTATTTCAAGAAAGGTAAAAACGCAACCGAAACCCAAGAAAAGATTTGTGCAGTGTATGGAGAAGGTGCTGTGGCTGATCGAACGTGTCAAAAGTGGTCTGTGAAGGTTTGTGGTCTGTGAAGGTTCGTGCTGGAGATTTCTCGCTGGACGATGCGCCACGGTCGGGTAGACTACTTGAAGTTGATAGTGATCAAATCGAGACATTAATTGAGAGCAGTCAACGTTATACCATGCGGGAGATAGCCGACATACTCCAGATATCCAGATCAGGCGCTGAAAATTATTTGCACCAGCTTGGCTGTGTTAATCGCTTTGATGTTTGGGTTCTACATGAGTTAAGCGAAAAAAACCTTGACCGTATTTCCGCATGCGATTCTCTACTTAAACGTAATGAAGAGAAAACGTTCCGTTTTTAAAATAAATTGTGACGGGCGATGACAAGTGGATACTGTACAATAATGTGGAACGGAAGAGATCACGGGGCAAGCGAAATGAACCACCACCAACCACACCAAAGGCCGGTCTTCACCCAAGGAAGGTGATGTGTATATGGTGGGATTGGAAGGGAGGCCTCTATCATGAGCTCCTTCTGGAAAACCAAACAGTTCCGACAAGTACTGCTCCCATTTAGACCAACTGAAAGCAGCACTGGATGAAGAGCGTCCAGGACTAGTCAACAGAGAACGCATAGTCTTCCATCAGGATAACGCAAGACCGCATGTTCATTTGATGACCAGGCAGAAACTGTCACAGCTTGGCTGGGAAGTTCTGATTCATCCGCCATATTCACCAGACATTGCACCTTCAGGTTTCCATTTATTTTGGTCTTTACAGAATTCTCTTAATGGAAAACAGTTTAATTCCCTGGAAGATTGTAAAAGGCACCTGCAACAGTTCTTTGCTCAAAAAGATAAGAAGTTTGGGGAAGATGGAATTACGGAGTTGCCTGAAAAATGGCAGAAGGTAGTGGAACAAAAGGGTGAATACGTTGTTCAGTAAAGTTCTTGGTGAAAATGAAAAATGCATCTTTTATTTTTACTTAAAAACCAAAGGCACTTTTTGGCCAAATGCAATATTTAGCATTGCAAAAGAATCTTCTATATTTGATCATAAATCATGAACTCATTCATGATCAAATATGCTATTTCTTTGTTTTAACTATTTATCAGTTCCTTTCTATAGCGTAAGAATTTACCATTTCCTCATTTTTATTTGCATTTTTTATTAGTGATAACAGATCAGCTCAGACGATACTTATTGTAAGTTCATTCCTTCTTTTCATGTTCTTTGAGTTAATTTTGGAGTCATTTGATCACACCTACTGTTACTTACACTTATAGCAGACTAAGTCTGCCCTGCTGATTCTTGATTTATATCATAGTACCTGTCTAGTTAGCGTTCTTATCTCTCTTAGGCTATGATTTGTGTTCATATGGGACTGTTAGGATTTTCTGCAAGATTCAATCATAGTCATCAATCATTTCAGTTATTATGGAAATTTCAGCTTTTTCCACAGTTGATCATATATCCTCTGCTGTGGCAAAAGGTCTATAGCTTTTTATAGGTATGATGTGCTGTCTAAATCTAAGCCTAGAAGGACATTAATAATTGGTGAAATGCGGTTTCGAGGCCAAGCTGGACCCTTCTCATTGTAATCTTCCTCCAGGGTCGATCCGCGAGGAGAATGGTGTGCGATGGCACGTGTGTCCCTACTGCACCAAGGAGTTCCGCAAGCCCAGCGACCTGGTGCGCCACATCCGCATCCACACCCACGAGAAGCCCTTCAAGTGCCCGCAGTGCTTCCGGGCTTTCGCCGTGAAGAGCACGCTGACAGCCCACGTCAAAACGCACTCGGGCGTCAAGGCGTTCAAGTGCCAGTGCTGCATGAAGAGCTTCTCCACCTCGGGGAGCCTCAAGGTGCACGTTCGCCTGCACACAGGTACGGGCCTGCCGCCGCAGGTGGTTCACGGCGGGGTCTGCGCTGGTGGCTGGGCGTTTGGAGCGCCCGTTGCTCTTTATTTCAGTGAGTGTGACAGTGACTTTCTGCGGGCTGGGCACACGGCACACGCTGTTGAACAAAGTCCACGTGACCTTGGTCCTCATGGAGCCGATGGCCCGAAGAGGGAGCATTAAACTGTACCACTTACGAGTGAGGGCAGGAGTGCAGGGAGTGAGGAGGGGAGACCGCTGTGGGTGACGGGATTCAGATGCAGCCCAGGAGGGCCTTCCCGAGGAGGAGGCCGGCATCGCCCCCGTGGGGCCTCTGGGTTTTAGCTGGCACCCTTCAGGCTGGGACCTTAATATCAATACCCACTCTGCCTGTCGGATATTTTGTCATCAGTATTAGGGCACGAGAACTTCCATATTCAGGCTCGAGTTCTGTTCATAGCAGTTTTATTGAGATATAATTCACAAATCATAAAATTCACTCTTTTAAAGTGTGCATTTCAGAGTTGTGCAACCCATGCCACTATCTAATTTTCGAACATTTTTATCACCCCCAAAAGAAACCCTGTACCCATTAGCAGTAACTTCTCCTAACCCTTTGAGGTTCCTGGGCTGAGCTGAGCATGTGGATGAGTATTTGAAAAAGCTGAAATGAGACTGTTTTGATATATGCCTTTCTTTGGAATCTGCGTTTTCACTTGCCAATAAAATGGTAAGAAAAGGAAGTTTCCTTCAGAAAAGGGAAGCCATAGCAGAGGATTGTTGAAAGGATGTTCTCACTGTCACCGTCAGCGGCGACGCTGTTATTTACAATCAAACCACCACCGTTTGCTGCTCGTTTCCCAAATGCCGGCACTGCTGAGCGCTCTGCAAACGCAGGTGTGTCGAATCCCAGCAGCAAACCTGGGGCCCCGTTGTTATTCCAGTTACAGAGAGGATGATTTGAGAGAGGAGAGCAGCCTTACTCACGTTAGTGTCTTAAGGACTACTGGTTGTTTGAACATCCATTTTACAATTTTAGGCTTTGTCCCGAAAATAGTAAATGCCCTTTTTTTTTTTTCTTTTTTTTTTTTTTACTTAAAATGCTCTTATTACATGCCTTAACATCTGTAACGTGCACTGAATGCAAACGAGAATAACTGTTAATTTATAACGTCCATGAAATTATAAACATATGGCATGAAACAACAAATTGAGAATTCAAATCAGTATTAAAATACTAGAATTTTATGTTGGCGTTAACTGAGATGTATTTCTTTGGAATAATTCTACAGTCTATTTTATTTTTTATCAGGAGTCAGACCTTTTGCTTGTCCTCACTGTGACAAGAAATTTCGAACCTCAGGCCACAGGAAGACTCACATTGCTTCTCACTTTAAACACACGGAGTTAAGAAAGATGAGGCACCAGCGTAAACCTGCAAAAGTTCGTGTTGGCAAGGCGAACGTTCCGGTCCCCGATATTCCTTTGCAGGAGCCGATCCTCATAACAGACGTGGGTAAGGCTGTCCTCCCTGGTGCTTTGCACGGGGCGTGTGAACATCATGGTCTGTGTAGTTAGATAGTTGTGTGTGTGGTGCCAGTGGAGGTGTTGTTAAGGATTGTTTTGCTTTATGAGCCAGCACGTTTCACAGTTAAATTAAGATCCTAGTTCTGGCTCAACTGCTGCTCAGATTATGTTCTCGGTAAGAGGGAAGTGCTGTGTAAGTGAAGATGTTCATATGTGAGTCCTCACCAAGGAAGACTGTACCTCAGTGGACCTGTGGGGTGGATGGGTGTCCTGAGTGGGGCACACAGTGTGCTGTGTCATTTACATCTTAGAAGCCCCGCACGCTGTGTAACAGATCATTATCTGGGCTGCTTTAACCTTTGGATTAAAAGGTAAATCTGCCCAGCTTTTAAGTTCTTTTTAGGCTTGGTGTTGTTATGATCAAGGTAAATTATGATTTTGTTAGCTAACTAGAAAGAAAACACAGTTCATGAGAATCTTCAGAGAAATGATTTTTGTAGGTCCTAAAACAAGATTAAAGGAAACTCATTAAGTTTTGTGCAAGAATTTACATTTTTATGCAGTTCTCCTGTATTTCATCGTCTTAGGTGAGATAATCTAGTCTGTGAACAAAATTAATATCAAATAAAACATAATATAAATAAAGCTTAAATGGTAAAAAAAAAGATACTGTAGACTAATGTCAGCTATAGTCCACTAATAAGGTGATCAATAGTCACGAGCTTTTATGTATCTAGGAGCATAGCATCAAAATATATAAACCAAAAACAGAAGAAAGGAGAAATATTCAAATTCTGAACCAGAGTGAGAGACCCTCAATTAGATTGGTGTAAACACAGTGAGACTGAGGAGGATTTGGAGCGCACATATCAAAAGGGTGATTGAATGGCTTTAAAGCCTTCTACTCCAAAGTACACACTCTTTTAAATATGCATGAAATAGAAGTTGATCACATTCTAGGGTATAGAGAAGTTTCAGGTTTTCAGAAATAGGTACTGTGAAGGATACAGTCTTTGATTACAGTTCACTGAAAACATAAATTAATAGAAAGTAGCTATCTAAAGTTTCATTCTATGGAAAAGTAAGACTCAAAACTGCAATTACATCCTAGAAATGGGAACGTTTTTATAAACAGTGGGATGGACCAAAGCTGTTATCAGAAAAGACTGATAACAGCTTTTAAGAAGTATTTCTTACTAAAAAATAAGAACAAAAATAAATAAAATATATAACTCAAAAAGGTAGAAAAATAAAAAAGCAAGTAGCAAGAAGTAATTAATAAGTATAATAATTTAAGATAGAAGACAAAATTCTAGTGAACATAATTTTACAATTTTTTAAAAGTTAACAGTAGAATAGATAGCTTGACACATCTCTAGTAAACTAAAGACCGAGAAAATATCTGTAATATTAGGAATGAGAGTCAAGCTGTAAGCACAGATACAGATGAGATAAAAATTGTTTGCAGATACTCTACAGCATTTTGCTAATACACTTGAAAATTTAGATGAAGTGGATTTTTTCTAGAATAACGTGCTTATCAGAACTGACTCTAGAAGAAATGGAAAACCCCCAAGAGACAACAAGTTTTAAGAGCATACTCCCCAAATACCAGCCTGCAATGATTTTACGTATGATTTCTGCTAAGCTTCCTAGGAACTGTAATTCTTAGGGTGTTTAATTGTTTAGGGTGTAGACACTGATCGGAACTCCCATGGTGGGTTAGAACACTCTGATGTCCTTGTGCAGCTGTGGCAGCTCACAAAGCGAAACAACAGACCAATTTCACTTAATGTGTATTTAATCTTCACTGTAGTCTCTAGGTTCTCAGTGATTTGTGTTATTCCTGAAATGCAAAAAAATCTCTAAAAGTTACGACAGACTAAAAACTTACTTAGCAGCCCTAGAATTATCCTTCATGCTTGAGGGTAACCCTCAAATTACCAGTTGTTTCAGGTTGCCATGACTCAGGTTACACACCTGTGGTGGGTTTCCTGCCGTTAAGTTTACAAATCCTTAGTTGAGTTGAACTGGAGCCCTGATTCTCCAGACTTTTTCCGAGGTTAAAATGGAGAGCATTGTGCTTTTAGCTTCACAGACACCTGTATCTTAGACGAAATTAGTGGAAGCAGAATTCTCCTTTGTTCTAGGCTGAGTGGGACACATGGGGGAAGTGATTCATAGAGCTGGCTTCACATCGTAAAATGTAAAATATTTAAGTGTTTATTTTACACTTCGTCATTATTTGTATTTGTGTCTGTCTCTTCTCTCAGAATCTGAGCTCCTTGGGGCCTATGTAGAAAAAGTGTGACTGTAATTATGTTTGGGGGACAGATCTTGATAAAAACATGCCAGAGAGGGTTTAGCATAGATTAGTTACAATTATATGACTTAACTGGGAGATGAGATGTTCCAGTCCAGTCTAGTTACTTGAAGCTCAATACCTTTTACACTAATTACTGTCGCTTAGGAAAGTATTAGAATGCATAAAAAAATACTCCAGCAAGTAACTTAATCTCTGCATATTAAGGGAGCATTGTTGGATAGAACAGTCCCATATAGTTGTGTAATTCTAAAAACTCCCAGAGCTGCGTGGGAACTTAAAAACAGTCTTTCCCAAACTTGCCTACATTCCTCACTCTTCATTTTCACAGATGTAAAATGTGGGCCCTAGAGAGGGTTCTAACATTGCTTTTAGGTTCTACAACTAGAGCTCATGGTAGAACTAGAACCTGGGGCTTCAGACTCCTGGATCAGCGTGTGGTCAGTACAGCTCACTTCCTCCCGCACCCGTCAGCCTTGCGCCCCCGGTGCAGGAGTGTGGAGGAGCTGCCAGGGGCCCACATGGCCACTGGGTCTTGGCATCGAGCACCACTAGTCTTTACTGAGCACAGATACCGTGTAGTTCATTGCACTTGGGGCTCTTTTCACTAGGCATGCGGTGTACTGTACTCTAAGTGCTTTCTCTTCTAAATTCAAGAACTAAGTTTAAATAAAACAGTGTGCAGACTAGGGAAGTATTGGAGTCAGGGTGATCGTAATATTTTGATCTGTAGCTGCTTCTGGATTTTCAAATCATATGTGTATATGACATATCTGTTTTTTTTTAAAGAAATCACTGTGTTTTCTATACATGACTGTGCGTATGTGTGAGTTTGTGTAATGGTGTATGCTCCCGCCATTTCTGTGGAGCATAGATGTTTGAAAAATATTTTCTTCGAAGTGAGCCAGGCTTTGGTTATCTATTACTTTTTAAATTTATTTATTTTAAATTAAAAGTGGGCTTTTGTTTTGTTTTTAATTAATTAGTTAATTATTTACTTACTTATTTGGTCGCACCGGGTCTTAGTTGCAGCAGGCGGGCTCCTTAGCTGTGGCTCATGGACTCCTTAGTTGCAGCTCGCCAGCTCCTTAGTTGCGGCATGCAAACTCTTAGTTGCGACATGCAGGATCTAGTTCCCTGACCAGGGATCGAAGCCTGGGCCCACAGCATTGGGAGCGCAGAGCCTTGACCACTGCACCACCAGGGAAGTCCCTGGTTATCTATTATTTTAAACCTCAGCGCTGTAATGATTGATCTTCCAAGTTTATATTCATGTTTTAATCATATTGATATTAGTGCATTTATCTTGCTTTTTTTTTTTTGCGGTACGCGGGCCTCTCACTGTTGTGGCCTCTCCCGTTGCGGAGCACAGGCTCTGGACGCGCAGGCTCAGCGGCCATGGCTCATGGGCCA